TGAAAGTGTTCCTGTGTGATAGCACAATATTGCCATTGAGAACATAAGAAAATACATATACACAAATCTTGGTTGCTTCTTGTTCTCTATTATATTTTATTTATACAAAGAAATTTAAAATCATTCTGAAAATTTCAAGGTTAATTTTAAGAGTCATGTCAATTTGAAAAATGTTCATTACAATTACTTTTATCATCATTTCAACTCAAGAAGAAATGTTTGTAAAGAGAAAATTTTAAGGAACATTTCTTACCAACACAAGTTCAAAAACAAACATACTGTATAAATTTAAAATGGTAAATGCAAATAAACCAAGTTTGTTGATAATTTACATTGACAGTATGTAAGACTTCATATCAATTGACTATTTGAGAAAAAGTGTAATAAAATCTGATTTTAAATAATTTGCATTCAAGAATTTGGTTAATAATAATTTCATTGGATCGTGTTCGCAACCTCAGCATTTAATTCCATCTCAAAGAATCAATTTTATTGTTTATAAAGAAAATTCAACAACTCAATTTTCCTTTTGTATCAAAGAATTTGCTTATTAATTAATTAATGATCCATTATAACATGTCCTGTCTGAGTTTTGCTTGCAAGTTGTATAAAATAATAATAATACAAGGTCTGTTCAAAAAATAACCAAACTTTATTTTTTTTAATTTTTATTCTTCAAGTTACAGATTTGGTCCTTGACACCTTCAAAGTACTCCTATTCCCTATTCACAACCTTATCCCAGCAGTGTTTCCACTTTGCAGAGCAGTCTTGGTAAGCTTGTTTCAGACTGTCCTTCAATGCTTGTGACAAATTTGTTTTAATGTCATCAATTGTATCAAAATGGCTTCCTTTAAGCATTGATTTTAAATTTTGGAAACAAGAAAAAATTGCAAGGAGCCAGGTCTGGTGAGTAGAGAGGCTGGGAAAGACAGTCATTTGATTTTTGGCACAAAACTGGCAAATTGACAAGGCTGAGTGAGCAGGCACATTGTCATGGTAAAGGAAACATAAGTTGTCTCCCCATAACTCTGGCCTCTTTTTGCAAAGTTTTTCATGGTTGACCATTTGACTTTGAGGCAAAAATCCAAAGTGCACAACTGATTTTCTGAACATGAGTGTCACATTTGAGGTTGAAGGCTTTCCTGGTCGAGGGTCATCTTCAACAAACTGACGACCAATTTTGAATTGGTTAAATCATTCATAACACTGCATACAACCTAGAGTATCACCTCCATATGCTTGATTCAAAAGTTGAAATGTTTCCGTAAAAGTTTTCCCCAGTTTCACACTAAACTTTACATTGCATCATTGTTCCTATAAATTGCACATTGCAAAAATTGCCACAATCACTGAAACACCTTTCACTCAAACAACAATAACGCCAGAATGAAACGAGATAGCAACAATCTGAAAAAAGCAGCTTACTTGATAGATTATCAAGAACACAGTGTTGTCAACTGCATGACACTAGGACACACTGTTTTTGCCCAATTCAAAAAGTTTGGTTATTTTTTTGAACAGACCTTGTATTGCCTTTAATTTTACTTCAGTGATAGCATAAAGATGAATGTCCTCTTTAATTTTTGCTAACTTAGCCTTGATACTATGTGTTTTTTTTATACAGCAATTTTTTTAAACATTTTTTCATAATTTAAGGGTTTAAATTTTTAGTCATTGGCAGTGAAATTCTAAATATGCTAATCAGGAACACCTTATTAATTCTACATTGATTGTATTGTTTTTCTAACCTAAGCAAGTTTACTTGCTAGTTAGCTGTAATCTTGGGTAGAAAACAGAAATTTCATAAAAGTTATTTTCTTTATTATAAATTAAATCATCCTGGCTTAATTTTAAAAAATGTAATTCATTTTAATTGTGCTGCCACTGCTAGAGGGAAATGTTACACTATTTTACATTTGGAGGCGGATGAGAAGCCTCAAATAAAAGATAGACTCCGCCATGGAATTGTCTTATCCCTCAT